ATACTGGTTTATTTTGCTTTTAATTTAAAAAAAAAATAAAAAAAAATAGTGATTTAGGGCTGATCAGAATTACTACAGTGAACTTCAGTATCAGAAACCATTTTTAATTGCGTCTCTTTAGTAAGCAAAATATTTGTTAATTCATACACGGAACAATGTATTTAATGACTCCTTTATGTAAAACTATCTTATATATGCATTTACAGAATAACAGTAACGTGCCATAAGGAAAAGTATGCCTCAGCCCAAACATCTGCAACAGGGAACAATTTCAGTATGATTGAATTCATTTATATCACTTATCTAGTTTAGTAAGACAATAAATTACAGGATAGCACAAAGACAACAAGCAATACTAGAAGAAGCAATTCTGTCTAGCCTTACCTTAAAAATGTTATGCAACTGCCAAGAAGGTTTTTTCAGAATTGCACACAGTCACTGCTTTATACATCTCTCACCACATTATAACTTCTAAATGTCATAAGTCAAAAGCTAATGGCTTGTCATGAAAATGTTGTATGTAAAACACAGTAACATAAAATTGCTATTATCAATCTACTGCATGAAAATGACACTTCACTTTTATTACCTGTTTGTCAGGTCCTTAATCTACAGTTTACAGTGACGACCATTATGTAGATACTACACACCGGGTAATATGTCTGGCAAATGATCCTCCCTGCATATACAACTTCCTGATCCTATTGAATATGTCTAACAAAGGTTAAATAAATAGTGCAGTCTACGTACTTGCATGAGACTCTCAATGACCTCATTTCTTGCTATTCCTTTGAATGAGGCTTTAAACAAGAGCCCTTTTCTGTACTGCCTGTAGTGAGCATCCAGGTAGAAGTTAAACATCACATGGCTCTTCATAAAAAGGTAGTACGCTCCCAAAGGGAGCGCTCACCATTTTATTTTTTTAGTGTAATAGGCACTAATAATGAGACCTAGTATTTAATGGCTGCCATACTGCACAAACAGTTAATGCACAAATAAAAATGTCAAATGGCACTAAGTCACCAAGCTCTGAGTAAGACTTCCAAATACTTATTATCCTGATACTCGGGTGATATTAAATGTAAGGACATGTCCTTACTGTTCCAATGCGTACAGAATTTTGACCCTGTACTTTATAATGTAAAGATTTTTAATGCAAGTGTCATATTTTTTTCAGTAAAACCCCCCCAACATATTTCACCAAATTCAAGAGGTTTGAAAGTCTCAGGGCTTCCTCTAGTCAACAAACATTTACACTTCAATTTATTGCACTTTCAGTCTTATAATAGTAGCATGGAAAATAAAGTCAATAAAAAAAGATCAGGCTACCTATTCCTGCTATCACAAAGATAAAAATCAAATAATGTCCTGACAGAATTCTATGGTGTATATATGCTAATTGTATCACAGTAATAGCATGCTTTCAATTTACCCTTATTCATTGGTGAAACCTAACTCTGCCTTTAAAAGGGTAACTTACCATTTAATGTTGCTATAAAAGAGACATTTAAGGCTTTACAACCTTTAGTGATAGAGTTCCAGCAAAACCAAGAGTCACCACCCACTAGATTGACACCGAAATGCAATTGCTTTTATCAAGCAACTGGTACAATAGACAAGAGAGCTACATGTTGCACCAAAACTGTGAAAAACCAAACCAAATATCAGAGGGGCAAACTTAATGACAAGTCAGCAAGGATTTAAAAGTACACTCATATATACACACACACACACACACACACATATATATACATATACATACATACACACACACACACACACATACATATACACACACACACCCCCCCCTTCTTATTTATTGGTTTGACAAAACAGCTTTTAAATATTTCAGCTCCTACCTTACAGATTGAAAGCAAACATTGTCATGCATGCCCTTAACTGTAAATTTAAAAATGATTTTGCTTTTTTTAATGCCATCTATTAATTCTCTAAAATACATTCATCTGTTACTGAGCTGCCCACAGTAACTACTTAGTTTTGCATGAGTTAGCACAATGTTTCAACCCCTTAAATTAGCTCTGAAATATACTTATTCATTTATTTTTAAAAGTACTTCATACTGCTCTGCATTATCCTTTGTGGAATAGCAGCATAATTTTATTGATGTTACACTTTAACTGCAACTCTTCCCTATTGCCTTGCAATCCTACTCTGCTGAAAAAAGGCATATTAATTATTTTTTTAAACTCTTTGGGGCAGAGATACAGACTTTTATCAGTCTTATGAGGCATCTTACACACTTTGGAGCCATATAAAAAAAAAAAAAAAGACAACTCATCCCCACATGTCATGTAATTTACTTTATTTTATGAACCTATAAGGACATTAGCATAAAATGTAGTGGTAAATGTTTGAAAGATGCTAAAGAATACCTGTATAATTCCTTATCTTCTCCACTGCTTTTAGTACATGGGTAAGTGGAAAACTGGGAGACTCTCAGACTTGCCAGTCACAGTAAAACCTTAGTGTTTCTCAAAAGAAACTTACAAGAAATATGTGTCTCACTATGAATCTAACCTTTTTGCAGTTTCTCCCTCCACTGAATCGGTGCGTATATAACATTTAAAAAAAAAATGATATAGCCTGAAAGGCTTCCTCTGAATTCTAGATATTACCTTGCCTTTTTGGCCTTGGGATGCTGAATGAATGAATGTTACTTTCAAGACAGAACAAGCAGGAAGACTTTTTGTTTCTTTTTATAACATTCAGTACAAGGAGGACCCTTAAATTCATTATGACAAAAGTTTTTAATACAATTTTTCACTAGTTATCAACACCCCAGTTACTGCACTCCAGCTAGCCTACTGGAGTGCAGTAACTGGGGTGCATAACCATACTGCAAAGCAATATTACTGCTATACAGGATAATAATGGTTGCTTACAGACTTAAAAAAAAAAAAAAAAAAAGTGCTTTACTGGAAGAAACAGTGCATTACTTTGACCTGGCTCCACAGCATCTGTATAGATCATGCACTTCAGTAGGGCTTTTTGGTGGTTTTATTTGATGATTCAATCAGCTATTAGATAAAAGCAGAGGTGCGCAAGATATGGCCTGCAGGCTGGATATGGCCCACCAGGCGATTCCATTTGGCTCACGGGGTCCCTCTGTAGGCCCTTGCCCCGGGCTCCCCTCTGAAAGCCAGCGCCTCCGTGCAGAAGGTGTGGCTCTGGTTGCTAACCAACTACCCCTACACCAGCCTGGCCTGGCCCCCCCGAGCCCTGAGCCAGGGGGCACTAGAGACAAGAAGCTTTTCCCTGGCCACCACATGGCTCTTCCCAGCCTCCCTGCCTGTGAGTGTGGGAATTCAGGTACCCCCCCTGGGCCAGAACTAGGATCTCCTGCTGGGGGAAAAGGGCTGGGAGTGCAGAGAGTTGAATGCTGTGGGGCTAGGTTGGGGTGGCCCCACACACTGCAGGAACACCAGAGCTGTGCACTATGGAGCTGGATCGGGCTAGTCCCAAACACTGTTGCCACATGCAACTGGGGACTTGGGTGGGAGCCTGGGACCTGGGGCTGCCCCACTTGCTGCCACCACATGCAGCTCATAGATTCATAGATTGTTAGGGCTGGAAGGGACCTTGCAAGATAGAGTCCAGCCCCCCTGCACTAGGCAAGGAAGACAATTGGGGTCAGATGACCCCAGCAAGGTGACTGTCCAGTCTCCTCTTGAAGATCTCCAGGGTAGGTGATTGCACCACCTCTGGAGGGAGCTTAGTCCACAGTCTGGACACCGTGACTGTTAAGAAGTTTTTCCTAGTGTTAAACCTGAAACAGTCTTCCAGGAGTTTATGGCCATGACTCCTGGTTTTCCCCAAGGGTGCCCTGGTGAACAGTTGTTCGCTGAGCCCTTGATGTATTCCCCTGATATAGCGGTAAGCTGCTACCAAGTCCCCTCTCAGCCTTCTCTTTTTTAGGCTGAAGAGTCCCAGATCCCTCAGCCTTTCCTCGTATGGCTTGCCTTGAAAGTCTCTGACCACACGGGTGGCTCTTCTCTGGACTCTCTCAAGCTTTTCCATGTCCTTGCTGAAGTACAGCATCCAGAACTGGATGCAGTACTCCAGCTCCGGGGACTCGCACACACTGGGAACTGTGTTCCCAGTAACACTCTTAACTCCCACCACAATATTAAAGAGTTGGACTGTATTTTGAGCTATTATGCAATTGCCTCTATACATACACTATGCAAATGCACACAAAACAAGACAAAAATATTTTTTACATTAAATTAAAATGTTATAGTAGATGTTTTTAGTATAAGATCTGTTTCCCCCCCCCCCAGTTCCAAGATAGCAAATCCCCACCCCACTTCCATCCTCCCAAGGAATACTTCTGGGGCAAGGGAAGGGACTTCAGGTGGCATAGGTCAAGGGTTAGGGGCAGGACTACCAGTTCCAAGATGGTGACCGGGGGCGGGGCAACTGTCAAGGGGCAAGGCTATCCTTACAGCCCTCAACAGCTCATCAAAACTCATTAAGTGGCCCTCCAGTCAAAATAATTGCCCACCCATGAATAAAAGTGCCAGAAAAGCCCCACTAAAGCACCCAATCTATACAGAGGTTGGGCAAGCTGTATTCAACTAACGCAATGCCTCTTCTGGGCATGCACTTTAAAGTAAAGCGACATTTTGGGTTTTTTTTCTTAATGTCTGTAAGCAGCCAATGTGATTAACAGCACAGACTAACTGAATTACCAGAGTGTGTGTGATTAGCAGTTGATGAGATCTTGTAACTTGAGGGGGTGCTTTCCCACAGCATTACCTGCTAATCAAGAGTTTCAATCTCTTTAGCCTGAATGGCCAGGCCAACCAAGCTTAATGTCAAATTTGACTCAGCTAGAGATTTCTGTGCAAAGAGCGGATTCAGATTACAAGGCAAAGCTCAAGTTATACCTAGACTTAAAATGAAATGACAACAAGACCTGAGAATAAAAGTGTCTTAGTACAGACAACCATTGAATTAAAAAGAGTCTAATTTCTTACCTATCAGACCCTTCTCAAGTGTGAAGGTTTTGTTGGTAAACATACATTCGAATGCCACAATATGGAAAACTTTGTTCACTGTGTTGTGGGTCCCAACTATTCGAATATATCTATGGGAAAAGAAAGGAAGAACAAGTTAAGGACAAACAAAATCCTAGCACCAAGTTATCAAAGATTCATTATGACAGTGGCAGTGCTTCCACCCTATTATTGTGGCTCCTGTATTATGCACAGTCACAAGGACTGAAGAACTGCAAAGAAGATTATAAATCTGAGTACAGATCTTGCACCTATATATAAGTCTTGAAAGACTTCAATTAGACGTACAGAGAAAACTAAAATGAGCCTATATCCAACTCGAACATTAACTGTGCTCCCCTAATATGACATTATGGAGTTACACATTATCTCCTGATTTTATTCTTGGCTATGAAGATTTAAAAAAAAAAAAAATCTACACAGATATAGATATTAATTATATACACACACACACTTATTTATTGGGCTTGTCCCTGATGGATAAAATCTTGTGTGTGCACGTGCGTGTGTGTGTGTGCGCACGTGTACGTCAGGGACAAGCCCAATAAGTAAACATTGCTTCCCTGCAGAAGTCATAGATTAAATTCCCCTTTATTATAAGCCTATTTCTAATTAATAAACTAACATTTGATATTTCAGACACCAACGTTCTGCTGTCTTACCGTTTATTACTTAAGTTATTTAAGTAAGTCAAGCTTTGCTAGACAAAACCACCTCCAGGTTTCACTCTTGGTTATACAGCATGCACTTATGAACACTGATGACAAAGTAAGATGGAGCTGAACTTTAACACAGTGGCCTATTCACCCTTTGAATTTCCTTGGAGGCTTCACCTTCTCCAAACAAGCATTAACCTTGAATCAATCTGAATTCGTTTTCCAGAGGGAACTCACAGTTCAGAGGTTAATGAACAGCTGAAATATCTATTATGAGTTTGGGAAAATCCCAAGTGGGATACTATACACTGTCATAGGGGAATTAAAACAAACAGAAAAATTAAGAATAAATAACATTTCCTCAAATAATGACTTATCGACACTGAAGGAAGGTGTATATTAGATGAAAAATGTCAATTAAAAGGAAGCAGAATCTATATGACTCATGCCATATTTTCCCTGTTATGTAAAAGAACCTTTAATTTATTTAATATAATTTAAGTTCTAACCTAATGGCTGCAAATGTTAATAAAGCAATTTCATCTCACCTTCTTCATTACTTCAAGTCAACGAGCTAAACCCCCCCCCCCCCCAAAAAAACCCCCCTCATTTTATTTCTTAAAATAAGGACGCTTTTGGTAATTCACACTTGCAACTGTTTTCCCTTATAGTTTTATTTGTGCCCTAACCTGCACAACAGAATTGAACACTTTAAAAACAGTTTTTAAAGACGTTAGACTTGAAACCTGTTTCTGCTAATGTGGTTTTGTCATTAGTGTAGATATAACTCTTTGAAAATATTTTTTCAGTTAAAATTTTAGAAAACATTTTCCATCCACACAACTGTCTTCAATGTAAAAACTGAAAACTCAAAACATTGGCTTTTAAAATAAATTTCTTAGCACCACCGATTATATATTGCATACCAGTTTTTAGTCTATCTTTAAACAACCTACGTTATTTATTATTACAAGCATTATTTATCTGTCTTGTGCTGTTCACTCACCTTCAAAGTTAAACTTTTGGTCAACTTACTTGAATTGCTAAAGTATGTAGAATTTATGGACTTTCACCTGACAGCATGGCATGAGTTCCTACTTCCCTAAATGTAATGCAAGATTATGCAGTGTTAACTCATGTGAGTAGTATGATTTTTGTACCTGGTGCTAGAAATCGAGATAACACATGGGGGACTTACCCCGCCCCAATGTTCTTGTTAAATGGGGAAAATAATCTCATTTTAGAGTCAAATAAATCTAGTAACAGCTGTACTGGATGACCTGGGACCCATACTTACTTGAATCTAAGATGAGGTTATTTCCCCCATTTAACATGGGGGGAAAAAAGTGCCCCATGTTGGATCTGAGTACAAAGCAGCAGGGGTGCGAGTGGGGACAGGCAGCTGCTGCGGCTCAGACTCTGGCCCCAACCCAGGCTCAGGGTTGGACTGGAGTCAGAGCTGCAGCCGCTGCCCACCCCACCACTGCCTCTACCCCTGCCGTCTTCTCACTGCCACACCCTCTGCCTCCTGCCTGCCCTCCTGTCATCTCCCCATCCACTATACCCCCTGGTTTCCCTGTCTGTCCCCCAACAAAGCCTCTTCTGTGCCATCACTAGTGCCACCACCTACCCTCTAGCTTTGGCTCCAGTAAGGCTCTGGCCCAGCTACAGCCTGGGGCACAGAGAACATGGTTGCTCTGATCCCTGCTTGGCCTGGTAGCAATGGTGGTGATGGCAGCAGGTTTGGCCCAGGTTCCAGCTCTGACTCTAAGACCCAGTCAGAGCTACCACCACCACAACCATGTGCTCCATTCCTGGGGCTAGAGCAGCACTGAAGCCCTGCTGGAGCTGGAGCCAGACTATAAGCAGTGTCGAGGGGAGGGGACAGAAGCTGGTGGCAGAAGCTGCAGAAAGCAGAGGTCAGAGAGAAGGCAAAGGGGGGGAGGGGCAGTGGCAGGCAGACACCGGGGGCAGCAGGCATGGGGATTAGGTAGTAGGGATGGCAGGTAGCAGAGATAGCAAGTGGGGGAGGCAGATGACAGGGAGCTAGGTACAGGGGTCAGGCCACTTGTCTCACCCATTGCCTGTTGCATGCTGCCTGCCCTCCTCTGCCATACCACCTCCTCATACTGCCTGCCCTTCCATCTGTCTCTACCCCCTGCCTGCTTTCCCCACTGCAGTGGTGGAGTGAATGAATTTAAGGCAACCTCCAAATAATTTGAGTCTATGCATGGAAAACCAACGAATTTATAGCACGTATAGAGAGATTTATGGATTGCTATTGCTTCTCATAGATTTCATAGACGTTAGGGGCTGGAAGGGATCTCATGAGATCATCGGGTCCAGCCCCCCCCGCCATAGGCAGGAAGTCAGCTGGTATCAAGTGACCCCAGGAAGAAATATATCCACCTGTTTTCTGAAGGAGTCCAGAGCAGGTGCTTGCACAACCTCTGGGGGGGAGTTTGTTCCAGACCCTGGACACACACACCATAAAGAACTTTTTTCATATGTCTAGTCTAAATTGGCCCTCCTAGAGTTTATGGCCATTAGACCTTGTTATCCCTAGGGGAGCTCTGGTGAACAGCTGTTCTCTCAGGTCCTGATGTACCCCTCTTATGTAATTGCAGGCTGCCACAAAGTCCCCCCCAAGCCTTCTCTTCTCCAGACTGAAGAGTCCCAAGTCCCTCAGCCTCTCCTTGTATGGTCTTCCCTCCAGGCCTTGGATCATGTGAGTGGCTCTCCTCCGGACTCTCTCAAGCTCCTCCACATCTTTCCTGAAGTGGGGAGCCCCAATACTGGATGCAGTACTCCAGCTGCGGTCTCACCAGGGCCGAGTAAAGCAGGAGGGTGACTTCCCTGATTTTGCCTGAGATGCATCGGTGGATGCACGCCAGAGTTTGGTTAGGTTTGCCAGCCACAGCATCACACTGGCGGCTCATATTCATCTTGTAGTAAATCAAGACCCCCAAGTTCCTTTCAGTCACGGTGCTAGCAAGCATAGCACTGCCAAGACTGTAAGTATGCTGGGGGTTCTTCCTACCAAGGTGCAGCACCTTACGCTTCTATGCACTGAAGGCCATCTGGTTTTGGTCAGCCCACCTTGAGAGCATGTCCAAGTCAGCATATATCCCGAGCCTGTCCTGCGGTGTGACCGCCCTGCCCCATAATTTGGCATCGTCCACGAACTTTGCCAGTTCACATCTGACTCCCAAATCCAGATCATTGATGAAGATGTTAAAGAGTACCAGCCCAAGTACCGAGCCCTGAGGGACTTTACTGGTCACCCTGTGCTACGTTGATTTGCAACCTTCAACTAGTACTCTTTGGGTCCGACCCCGTAGCCAGTTGCCTAGCCATCAGACCATATGATGATCAAGGCCACAGTTCCCCAAATTAACCATGAGGACATCATGGGGAACTAGGTCAAAGGCCTTCCTGAAGTCCAGATATGTGACGTCCACATCATCTCCCTTGTCCAGGGCACATGTTACCTGGTCTCAGAAGTAAATGAGAATAGTCAGGCAAGACCTGCCAGTCACTAAGCCATGTTGGCTGGCATTCAGAAGCTTGCCTTCCGTTAGTCTGGCATTGATGGATCCCTTGAAAATTTTCTCCAGGATTTTTCCAGGGTTGGACATCAGACTGATTGGTCTATAGTTCCCTGGGTCATCCCTCCTCCCTTTCTTGTAGATGGGGACCACACTGGCTCTTTTCCAGTCACCCAGAACCTCGCCCGAGCGCCACGGTTTTTCAAATATCTCTGCCAAGGGGGATGCAATGATGTCTGCCAGCTCTTTCAAGACTCTCAGGTGCATTCTGTCTGGGCCTGTGGACTTGTGACTGTCTAACTTCTCTAGGTGTTCCCTCACCTGATCCACATTGATTTTGTGCCTGTCACCTGCTCCTGGATTGGTTTGTGCTGTTCCTGACAATGTGGTCCTTCTGGGAGGGTGGAAAACTGATGCAAAAAAGTCATTTGGGAGAGTGGCCCTTTTTTGGGCATCGGATGTCAGTTGTCCCGTTGGATCTCTCGGAGCCCAATGCTATCTTTGTTCTTTCTCTGACTTCCCACATATCTGGAGGAGGACTTTTTGTTGTCCTTGATTCCCATAGCTAGCCTAAGTTTGGTTTGTGCCTTGGCTTTTCTCTACCGCTCTCTATAGGTGCGGGCAAATGCAGAGTAATCCTCTTTGGTAATGTTTCCTGTTTTCCAGCTGGTGTAGGCTACTCTTTTGAGCTTAATGAGGTCCAACGGTTCCTTATTCAGCCATGGGAGCTTCCTTGTCCGTTGACTGCATTTCTTGCAAGATGGTATGGCTTAGATGACCATTCCTCGTGTACTCCCTTTTCTGGGGGGTATGGCCTCTAATTGCCTGACTGACCAATTCTCTCAGTTTGCAAAAGTCAGCCTTGCC